ATCATTCAAGGAGGGTAGGCACGAACTATGCTGACAAAAGAGCAGGAAGTAACTGTGTGTTTGCCTTAGAAATGCTTGTCTGGTAGAGTAATACTGATCTAGCTAGGCTGGCATAATACTTCTTGCCGAACTCTGGCACTGAAATTTATCACGCACTTGATTATCATACTGCAAATAACTGTAGCAGATATACTGAGGTCACATTGAGTTTAATAGCAAATACATGGGCTTCGGACAGAAATTACATGTAAATCGGTATAAGTGATTGGAAATTGGTTCAACTCTGTAACACAAAAGAAGTGCAGTACAGATAAACCACTTTCAAAATGGCCAAAACTGATTTAAGATAAACCTGGATGGATGTATTATCAGATTTAACTGATTTAAGTTAAATCAATTTATTGAACTTCTGTCCCACATCCCTTCCAGATTCAAATTAGCTCACAGTCTCACAGCATCCCAGGATGCTTTGGCACCTCCCCTGCAAACACTGCCTTGTAGGGTGGGTGGGCTAACCTTGGTTCAAGCTGTCTGCTTCAGGGAGGCACCTCCCAGGGTCTGGCCTGGGCCACTGCAGGCATGTGGCTACATTACCAGAATCAAAAGGGAACATCTGTTCACTTATTTATTTAATCTCCTATATTTAGACTAACCTGCAAAGATTGAATCAGTCTTGGGCTTTTTGACTGTCTGTACTTAACCAAAATCACCTCCAACTCTTCCTGAAAGAAGCAGACAGACGGCAGGGCAGGGTAGCACCTTATAGAATAACTCATTCAGAAATGCATAAGCTTTAGTAGGTGACAGCCTACTTTTGTCAGATGTGATGAATGAACTAAAAGCAGCAGAGTAGGAGAAGAGGTGCTGCTTTTTCACAGTGCCAAGAGCCTCAATTGAGTCCTGCAGCATTTCACACCTACATGCAAAATGCCTTAACACTAGGCTCCACACAGCTGTCAAACTTGTGGCTTCCTCTGCCTCAGGCTCACAGCAAGTTTAGTACAAAAAGCTATAGAACAATGAAAACAAGAAATTAGGAGCAAACTGAAATTAGAAGCAAACTGAATTGTTCTAGCAATAAATCTCTTAAGGGTCTCATGACTGCCTGAGAGAGTTTCAGTGGACAATAATACATAATTAATGGGATTCTGTGTACAGTTTAATTTTAAAAGGCTCAAATGACCAATTCATGCTGCTTTGGAGGTCTCATCCAAATACGAAGCAGACAGACTTCAGCTGTGTTATCATGCTGGTATGCCTGCAATTAGAAACAAAGCAGTTTTTCGTTTAAGAATTTCAGACCAATGGTAAACTGTGAAATGTGGCTGTGAAAAGTCATCTTGTACATATGGCATAACTTCATCGCCTACAGGACAGTTAGGAGAACTGTGTCCTAACACTATGTCCTTTGACTTGGTTCTCTTTGGCAACATGTTCAGCATAACACATTCAGCCCTACCAAAATTGCTCCTAATAACTGTTTTGTCCTATTTGGAAGCTCAATGTAATTATTTTCTCAATTACAGCACAAGCATGGAAAAAGCCACCACAAATTATTTTCAAATGAGAAAGAAGTCTTTCAGTAAATCTTTACACACCAATGTATGTGATTTGGAGTCATTAAAACCTGGAGTCCGTCCAGTTTGAACACTGAGTCAAACCACAGATGAGATTCAATGGAAATCCATAAGAATGATGTAAAAATAAAACAAATAAGCCACACTTTAATGCAAAATATTGTCACAACCCAAGGGTGTGATTTTTGTTTGTGTGAGCTTCGGCACTGCTAAATTATTTCCCGCCACTCATAGCTTTCTTTGCAGGGTGCATTTCTGAGCTGCAGAAAGGAGATGCACGCTGCAAGGAGTTCCCGCCATTTGTATTTAAATTTGTGCCCCACTATTGGCCAGTTCTAAATTATTCCCACGTGGCGGCTAGTGATTGGCTTGCTAGCTGTATAAGAGGCTTGAGCGGTTTCCGCCCAAGTTGGAGCACTCCACGACTATCAGGAGGAGGAGAACTTCACGTCTCGTGAAGATCTCTAAGCGCTGCGGAGCCTATTGGACCCAGAGTGTATATCAAGAAGGCTACAGGGGTCTGATCAGCCTCTCGCCTCTCCCCGTCGCCGCCTGATCCCTCAACGTACCCTTCCCTGCGCGAAAAGTTCCACGGAGCCTAGCAAACTTCGTGTGAGTGAATCCAGAGCTCTACCCGGGGTTCGAGTCCTGCAGTTTTTTTTCTTCCCGTCGCCGAAACCCCATTGCGACGTACTCCTGAGGTTTCTGTTCATCTCCCGTCGCCGAAACCCCATTGCGACGTACCCTTACTTTCTGCAGGCATCTCCTGTCGCCGAAACCCCATTGCGACGTACCCATACGTTCTGCAGGTTCGAGTTTTTTGTTTTGTTTTGTAACCGCAACTCAAGCAAGTTTTCCTGCCTGCACCGCGACCATCTTCAGTGTAAGTAAAATAACCTTAAATCAACCACTAAGCGTCCGTGCCTAATTCTAGCGTGCCGCCTGCCTTCCCCGACCCAGCATGTCCAGGCTGCTGGCCACAGCCCACCGCGCGAAAAAAGGGCCTCGGACCGCTCCTGGCCCGCACAAATATGCATGAAGGAAAACCTCCTAGCATGACAGGAAATAGTATGGTAATCAGATGAAAGAGAATTTTTAAGTGATAATTATAGTCAAGATTTGGTGTTTTTGGGGATTGCTATTGGTGATTGATCAATGAAGAACAAATTTACTTTTATTAGTAAATGTTTAGGATTGTGAATCCAAAAAAGCTGACAAAGTCAGTAGGGAAATACATAGCGCCCGAGTGAGGGACTAACAATAGAAGGATGGGGGTGAGAAAGGGAACGCAACTAGGTTACAGGAGATACAATGTTAGCCAACTAAGCCCGGGGGTAGGGAGGAGGGGGGAAGAGGGGGAGGAGGTTCACGACGCTGAGAGAAAAAGAAGATAGATACACACAAACCCGTTACAATGGTCTGCAATGGTGGAAGAAGTGGTTCGCAGAAAAAGTGTCTCAGTTCATATAGAGTCTCATCATGGGGGTCCTCTTCAGGTGGAGCAGGGTCATCCATAGGTGAAGAATCCTCTCGAAGTGAAGGTCCATCTGGTGCGGGGGCAGGGGTCAGGCGGTCCCCTCTGGGTCCGGTCCGGCGGTGGTTCGTCTGGTGGGGTCAGTATACTGGCAGTGGCTCATGATGTGTTCCACATAGATGTCACGGGACCAATGGATGGTGTCGGACACCATGAGGCAGCGCATCAGCTTGGCGTAGCGGTGGGAGATGCGGCAGGCACGCAGGACGCTCTCGTTGCTGGGGTCCCAGGCTCCAAGCGTTCCCGTGATGAGCACGTCGACCGTCACGTCATAGCCGTGGCCCCTCAGGATGTCAGCCAGTGAGGCATACTTCTCCTGCTTGCGAGCCCGGGCGTTGGTGAAGGCTTGGCGCCGGTTCTTGAAGGGGATGGTAACGTCCACAATCATGACATTCTTGGCCTCCTCGTTGGTGATGATGATGTCAGGATGCATCTGGCTCTCGCAGCCCAGGACAGTGCAGTTCATGGAGATCTCCATGGCCCTCACCAGGCGGTCCTGGACAGCATTGTGGCAGAGCTGCCAGGCTCTGGCATGCGGCTTGCAGCTGCACAGCTCGTAGGGGAGAGTCTCTGCCGTGTCGCTGCACCGTCGGCACCTCTTGTCCCAGTGGCTGAAGTGGATGGCCCCGTTCAGAGGCAGGCAGTTGAGGCGGGTGCGGTGGAGGAAGCACCAGTCCACGAAGCGCATAAAGCTCCCACTGGGCATGAAGTGGTTGCTGGAGTCCCACTTTGAGGTGATGTCGAAGACCTTGCCCTCATCGGGTTTGGCCCTCAGGTTGCTGGCATGCTTGTTTCGGATGGCGTCCTTCAGGAACCTCTCCAGGAAGGTCCTTGTGCGGGGCGTCACTGTCACAGGGTTGGCATGCGGGGCTGGTTGCAAGGAGTACTACACTTGATCTGAGCCTTCAAGAGGCCAAATTCCACATCCTTAATCAAACGTCTAGGCCCTTAATTCCCAAAAGTATACTGGGGTTTGTTTTTCTTTTTCTACCTCAGAGATTTTTTTTTTACTTCTGCATTTTAATCTAAATATACCTCAATCAGCATGTTTGATTCTGACTAAAGCATGCTTGGCAAACAGCTACAAGCGAGGTGAGAAATTAATTTGTCTGAGTCTAGTGGTTGGGGCTACATAGCTGAGCGGAGATGGCATGCTGCCGAATTCACAAATTAAGTCAGGTATATACCCATATAGTAGTAGGGCATGAAATACAATATGAGCATCAATTATTTCATTCAAGTATAGAGGTCATAGGATGCTCTCTCGGTCTCTGTCTTCTTTTGTTCATTGTCATTCATTCCAATTTTATGTCCTTAAAGTTGGTTGATTAGACCATCCAGATCAGAACATTTCTTAATACTGAGGAAGTTTGGAAGTGCATCTGAAAAGAATCTGCAATGACTTAG